ACCCACCCTTCCTCCTGAGCTGGTGGAAGAGGTGCCCTGCCTTTGGTCCAAGGCTTCCTCTTCCATCTGATCTCAAGATCCCTGCCACCTCCCACTCTGTGGGTCATCTTCTCTCTCCAGCATCCTTCTCTATCTAGAGACTCTCTTGGGTCTCCCACTGCTCCCAGCCAAAACGAAAACAAAACTCCCCTGAGCTCCCTTGATCTGCTGCAAATATAATTTGTCATTCTCCTCTCCATAGAGCCCAGTATCTTTAAATAGTCGACCTAATAAACTATTAAGTCTTCAGTCCCTTGCAATCTGCTTTCTGCCCTCTACCACGCCACTGAAAGCATTCTTAACAAAACAGCCAATGAGCTTTACCTTCTTCTTGCTAAATCCAATGGATATTTTCACTTCTCATCCTTTTAACTGTCTCCCAGCAGCCTAGCCCTGCTGACCACACACTTTTCATGAGGAGCTGTCTTTGTGGGACGTGTGACCACAGCCTCTTCTGTAATTCTCTCCCCGGCCACTCCTTGTCAGTCTCCTCTGGGGGCCCTTCCTCCCTGACCGCTTGCTCTTCAGACCTTCACCTGCACCCTGCCCTGGGCCAGCTGTCTTCCTCCACCTCTGAGTGCTGCCTGGGAGCCCTGCCCACCGCAGTGACTCTGCTTCCCCTCTGGTGCTGACAACACGCCACCTCTAGCTCCAGCTCAGACCCTGCGGCTCAGCTCCAGACTGGCCCATCCCATCACCCAGGGGAAGGCTCCAAGAGCACATCCGGGTACCTAAAACTCGATACATCCAAAATTGAATCAACTTGTCCTCTCATTCCCCCAAATTGATTCCTTCTTGTGTTTCTTAATGAGTAGTACCACCATCTCCTCAGCTGCTGGAGCCAGAAAGCTGGGTGCCAGTCTCATCCCCCTCTATCCCTCACCCTTGAGTGAATCAGTCACAAATCCCTGTAGAGGATTTATTTCTTAAGTATGGCTCCCAAATTCAGTACTCCTCCCGAGGCCCATAATCACTGCCACTCTGGTCAGTCACCTCTCCTGGATGCCATGGGAAGCACACCCTTCCTGTACCTGGCCTTCTACCTCCAACCCTGACCCTTCCAGCCCCTCCATCACATACAGACAGAGGGAATCCGATCACCTTGCTCTGATTACAATACTTCAGTGATTCTTCACTGGCTGGACTCTGAGGACAGCAGAGGGTTACTGAAGTATTTTAAACAAGCAAGTGAGATGATCAAATTCAAAGAACAAATAGCACGACGGTCGACTTCTCAACAGCCACAGCAGAAGACCTGGAGTTCTACACTGACACACGAGAGTGGATTTTCCCAGTTACAATTTCTCATCAAAGAAATATAAACAGATGTATTTCAGAATGGAGAAACTGAAACTAGAAAGGAGTGAGATAAAAGAAGGATCAGTGAGTAAAGAATGAGGGTAAAGAGAGACAATCAGTGGCTGTGTAAAGTGCTGGTGGTACTAAGTGATTTGGGGAGCAACAAACACCAGGCAGGGTGAGCGGGGCACATGGGATGGGGCTGCCGCATCCTCAGGTCTTTGTATATTTCACAGGAGGTGAAGGTATTGACTAACTTTAAACTGTAATCACATGAAAGAAAAATACAATGTAAAACTTTCAAACTAGTAGAGTGGGAGAAATTAAACAAAGAAGGCTTGCAGGCAGAAAAGGAGAAAAGAAGGGAGTAGAGAAACAGAAGAATAAATAGAAAACACAAGACAAGGAAAATAAATGTAAATATATCAGTAAACATAAGTGAAAATGATTCCAATCTAACAGTTAAAAAAGATGATCAGATTGGATATTTTAAAAATCCCAGTTTAGGGTGGTTGTAAGACTCAAGGACAAATAAAGGCTAAATGTAAGAGTGTATGTGTGTGTATGTATATATATATATACATACACACACACACACACACACCAGGAAAACACTAACCAACAGAAAACTGGTAACAATGATAGTATCTGATAAAACAGAGTTGGGGAGGAGCATTAGGGGTAAAGAGGACTCTTACATAATGATAATCGAAAAAATTCTCCAGAATATTCTAGATTGTGTGCACTGAATAATATGGCCTCAAGATATCTAAGTAACAGAATTAAGAAGCTTGTTCTGAAACCGTCACAGACAGAACTCTGTACCCCAAACCGAGAGGACATACATCATTCCCAGCACACAAGGAACATTTGCAAAAATTGACTTGTACCAAGTCACAAAGCAAACCTTGACCAACATCAAAGAGTCAAAATCATAGTCTGAATTCTTTGACCCCAAATGAAAAGAAGGTAGATCAGCAACAACAAAGCAGCTAGGAAGACCCCTGTGGCTGCTGGGTAGAGAGGGTGGTCGCGGGGGCCTAGTGGAGCAGGGAGACCAGCTCAGAGTTCGAGGACTGGGCAAGGGTGGGGACAGTGACATGAAAGAAGAGCTCTGACCATCTTGTCCAGTCATATACATCCGGCATCTAACACAGTGCCAGATACATAGTAACTGCTAAAATTGGGGTTTTAAAAAAATGAAAAGGAAGCTAAACAAATGCTAGCTGAATGTGTCAAAGTGAACTGAAGCTCTGTCCTCACAGCGGGTTCCCATGACCCAGTCACTAATGCCTCACCTGATGGGACCTCAGTTTACTGCCAGGTCAGACAGCTTTAGGTCTGCCCACCTGCTTAAATCTCCTTGTCTCATTTCCCTGCCCCTGTGGCTCCTTATTTTTGAAATGTTTTTATGCGATGCCTAACATAACACAAAGTGTTTCCATATCTGTTATCTCATTTAATTCTCTCCAAAACCTGTACATTCAGTTCTGCTAATTCCACTGTTACAGATGAGGAAAAAGGTCAGGCTCAGAGAGGTTAAGTAATCCACCTTAAGATCCTCATCTAGTAAAGGATTTAGACCCTCATCTAACTTACTCTCACCCTCTTAGAGAGGCAGCATGGTTCCCTGGTGTAGCAATTTAGGGCACTGTTCAAATTCCAGATCTGTGACTCATCGGCTGGGGGTCCCTGTGCAAGGTAACTATTCCTACCTTAGTCTGTCCACATACAAAATGGGGATGATGATCCCATAGCAACTACCATACACAGTTGTTATGAGAACCAAATGAGTTAATATATATATGAAGTGCATGGAAGAGTGTTAGACATATAATAAGCTTTCAATAAACATTAGCTGTTTTGTGTCATTTACCCATTTAAGGAATCAATTACAACTCTCAGATAAAAGTTGTCCAAATTAAAATTGAACCAGGAATGTGGGCAGGTGTAGATCGTCTTATAGTTAAAAATGCAGCTATTGTAGCCACGAGCACTAAATGTTCACTTAAAAGGCCTAATTTGTCTGTCTCAAGGTGACTCACTCAACTACGGACTCTGGACTAGCCCTGTAAAACTGCTGTTGGGAGACACAGCACAGACGCCTTGATATTCTGACCAGGGCAGGGTTTCTCAAGCTCAGGGCTGATCACATTTTGGGCTGGGTAATTCTTTGTCATGAGGGGGCTGTCCCGTTGCACTGCAGAAAGTTTAGCAGCAACCCTGGCCTCTACGCACTAGATGTTAGTAGCACACCCATCCCACCCCACCCATTTTGTGACAAGCAAAAATGTCTCCAGATAGAACCAAATGTCCCCTGGGGAGCAGGGGGACAAAAATCATCCCCAGTTGAGAGCCAGCCCTAGTCTTCATAACTAAAACTATTCTAGTGGGATCCCAAGCAGACTCCCTTGTCCCAAGTTCAACTCTAGAGGCTGTAATAAAATAGCCTGGAGCAGGGATCCAGTACCCAGGGGTAATGTAGATAGATTATGCAGGGCTTCACACAGTCCCATGTTCACCCCCACGCATGGTGCATGGAGATAGGCTGGAAGGCAGAATGCAGAGTCCATTTCAATCCTGGCTACAAGGAAATTTTAGTGTGTACTTAAAATGCTCTGCCTCAGAAACCAAATGTTGTAGCATTTGTAACGGGCAGAACATTTACACGGAGCTTTCGCCTTCAAATCACCAAGCTTTCAGCCTCCGCTAATACTCTCAAGGGGCAGGTTTGGCCCCCTTCCATCTTCAAGATGATTCAGGTTTCCTGGAGAACAAAATGAGCCTCTAATGCCTTATATTTTCTCTCTGACAGATGGTTTCAGATGTATCAAATCGCTAATCCTTGCTGAAGTATAGGTCTCAAGGAAGGAGAGTTTGGCTTTTCGAATGATAAGACTTGAATGATTAAGGAAGAAAATTACTCCCAGGATATTCACCATTGTCATGTGAGCAACCAGCTTAAAAATAAAGGAAGACAGCAGAATCTGAAAAAAAAATTTGAGGAGAAAGGAGCGGAAAAACTCAAAACCCAGGTTAACGGTTTAGGTTTGAAACATTTCCACTCAAAGACATCTTTGGGAGTGGAAATGAAGTGCAATAAAAACACCTTCAAATTCAAGATTAATTAAGGCCCATTCCCACATCACCATTCCCATCTTAAGTGTGTGAAATTATGTCTGGAGACAGAGGCTGGACTTGGAATATTTGTCTTGCCCCATTTACCAGCTGTGTGACCTTGGGCGTTATACAACCTCTCTGAGCCTCAGTTTCCCCACCTATAAAACAGATAATACCTACCTCAAAGTAAGCTTGTGTAAATTAAACGATCCAGTGTTTGCCTTACGAGACACATAAGCCTTCAGTGAATGTCACTGAGTATAAACTAGTATTTAGTGTTGACCTACTCTGTGCAACTTTTGAGTCTCACCGGAGAATAGATGGTTTTATATTAAGGTACTGTAGAAACAGATAACTACTGATGAGGATGTTGGGGGTCCGAGAGGTTGTCCAAGGTCACATAAAGGGGCACATAGTGGGGTTCGACCCCGAGTCTCCCTGACTCGCCAGCCACCTCTCTCTATAGCCCCACGTGGAAAGGACGAAGGGAAGTGGGGGAGTTACTGGAGCCAGGCCACCACGCGGAGTCAGAGGTCACTCACGGTACTCTTCTAGCCGCATTAGAGGCCGGAAGTAGATGGGGTAGAAGGCGGCGCCGATCAGGGAGATGAAGCCGCCGAAAATGAAAGCGGTGCGTAGGTTCGGGGACATGGCTACAGCCAGGGGCTGCTCTGACCCGCTGAGCACCCCGCACTCTCGGAATCCAGACTCACGCCGGCTGGGTCGTGACCCCGCTCGGAGGAAGAGTACCGGCTTTCGCTTCCGGGCCTTGGAGGCGGGGCTAGGAGGCGGGACGGGGATGGGGCGGAGCGAGGTTGGGGCAGGGGTGGGACCAGAGGCGGGGCCTAGGGGCTGGGTGGAGCTAGGGCGGGGCGGGGGCGGGGCCTGGGCCCCGGGGCACTGCCTCCCCGGTGCTCCCTGACTGCGCGCTACACCGGGCGAGCGCCGGCTGCGATTTGAACGTGGGCATTTACTGCTCTCTGTTCCCTGTTCTGCCCCCTCAACCTGGTTCTCCTCTTAGCCGCTCCACCTACCACTCTTCAGACCTCGTTTAGGACTGCCTTCTTTACCAACCACGCTTTTTCGTTCTTCCCCCTTTGATTTGATTTTAGTGATTACACGGTAGGTGGAGGCTCTCTATGGCTGGCTGATTTAATCCTCGTATCATTTACAAGTGAGGGAATCCTGGCTTGGCTGCTCAGATTTGGGCCCAAAGGGCGGCTTGAGGGTGTTAGAGACAAAGGTGCAAATCTCCAGGCCCAGGATGGCCTGCAGGGGATTCTGAAATCGGAGCCAGAGGGGCTCCTGAATCGAGACTAGCCTGGGAGGAATGTTGTTTCAACATCCAAGCTACAAGTAGATCTTTTCTGACTCCGATTTTCCATTCCCTCCTCTCTCCCTCTTCCCTTTGCTGAATGTCAGGGATGTGAAGGACAACGGGGAGTAGATAGAGATCAGTGCAGGGCAGGGAGCCCAGTCCCGTTGATGGGACCCTGGGGCTCTGCCTTATTGCCTGGGGTGGAAACCACTGAGGACAGACACCTTCTTCCTCTTCCTAGGATCTCCATCCTCCGTGCTTCCAGGTGGGCCGCTGCAGCATAAGGTCTGCCCCTTCCCCGGCCCAGGGGTACTGGGCAGCTGAGACTAAGATTCCCTAGGCTTTCACTAAATCCTTTGTAAATAAGAATGATACCAGCAGCCGGGAGCTGGGGAACAAAGAAGACCCCAGAAAATCTTGACACCCCCCAACATCATTATTTAGTCCAGAAAATGGTGCAGAGGACACAGATTTCCTCTTTCTCTGTAGTTTTGCAGTTGAGTCAGGCTACTATTTACCTTCGTGGTTCCAGGAGCTTATAAATCAGGTGTTTGTACTGTCAGCCGATTTATAGACTGTCTGCTGTACCCCAAACGCCAGGCAAAGTGATATGGGGGACACAAAGATGAATAAGACGTGACCCTTGCTCTCCAGGATCCTGCCATGTGGCCAAAGAGACAGGACATATACATAAAATGATAACTAATGACCAGACGCAGCCTGTTGCTGATGAGTGATACGGTCCTGCGGGCTACAGAAGTTCAGAGGAGGAAGACAGATGACTGTAGGGTGAGACAGCTGCTCCGCGGGCACTGCAGGAGCTTGTTAGGGTGAGGACAGAAGCAAAGAGGGAAGCTGCGATGTGTGCTTTATATCACCTGATCTGAAAATCTCAAGCGTTCTGTGCATTTGTCATTTTAGCCACCCAGCAGCCCTTTCTCTTTCTATTAATAGTATTCCAGATATCTTTCACTCCTCTCCTCTACCATTCTTAATCTGTGAGGTAAACGGGGGCTTCACCGCCTGCCCTACTCCTGACTCTTTCCCAGTTCTGGGGGTTAAGCATATAATCAAACCTGACCAAGCTCCCTCTCTCATCACAGAGATTGATTGGCACTGGACCCAGGCCTGATTGTCCAATGGGGCTGCATCCTTCTGGCCAAATGACCCATGCTCAGCCAACCATAGTCTATCCCAGCTGCTGGAAAGCTGGATTTGAACCTGAAGGGATGAGACTCTGGAACTGCAGGGGACCACCATTTAGAGATGGAGAATGAGGACAGCAGAGCAGAGGGAGAGCTGAGAGATGGGGAGAAATCAGATACTGACATATGTTTGAGCCCTGAAGCCAGTTGTGCCTGAATTTCTCAGTAACATGAACCAATAAAGTCCCCTCTTCACTGAAGCCACTTTGAGTTGGGTTCTGTCTGTTAAAACAGAAGGAGTTCCAGATGAAATCACCATGGGTGTGACTGCATTTGCTCAACACCTCCATGAGCTCCAAGTCAGAAATTACCCTATTTTTTAGATCAGGTCACTGAGAGCCAGAGACCACACACCATTGGCTGAGCCAGGACCAGGGCTGAACTCTCATGATTCCTAATCTGGTGTGCTCCTCCGTGACATCTTACTGGTTCCATGATCAAGCTTGGCAGGTGGCTGGCTGAGCCCTATCCTCAGAGGCTCCGAAAGCCAGTATAGAGAATGCCGGGATGTCCTCATGAGGTACCAACAGTGCATCCAAGGCAAGGACCCCACCAATGTGGGACAGATGAGCCACCCCCTCTCCAGGGTGATGTGGAAAGTAATGTGGTTTCTCTGCCCCTCATGCTGATCTAGAGGTTTTAGTCTGGCCAGCAGCCAGCCTATAATCTATACAAACACAACAATCTATACCAACGGCATAGCCCATCTATAGCTTATTAGCATCATCCTACTCAAACTAGTTACCTGTCACTTGCCTGCAACTGAGTCCTACCAAGTACAAGTTCATCTTTTTGACCCCAGTGTTCTCCCCCTTTCTTGACTATCCCACCGACCTATAGATTCAATCAACAAATACTAAGCACTGTGCTAGTTGATTAGGAACACAGAAGGGAAGTGGTCAACATTTGCATGTTTGACAGAGGTTCACTGAGCCCAGCACTTTTTCGGCCCTCTTGGATGCGGCAGTGAATTAACAGGAGGGTCTGTTGTCCTCAAGGTAACTACGGTCTGGTGGAAGGATATGATGTTGACTGTGGATAGTCATTTTGGACACTCGGCCTTCCCTAATAATAGCTCCTGATTCCTTTCAGAGAATGACCTCTCGTCTTGGCTTTCTTGGTTGGGGCCCTGGGCATTCCTAGCAGTGCTGATATCAAGGCTGTAGGACACTTCCGCTGTGCAGGCCACTATCACAGGTTTACCTGGTGAGTACTCAGCAGTCCCCATGGGTAGGCATCCCCACTTTCAAAGAGAGAAGCTGAGGCATAGCAAAATGATTAGCTCAAGGTCACATGGCTAGTAAGTGGCAGAGCCTGGATTCAGATCCAGACTGGCTCCAAAGACCTGCTCTTACCACCAGTCTAAACTGCCTCACAAAGTCAGTGAGCTCACCATGTCTGAATATGGGTTCAATTCCAACTGGGCCCAATTGTTCTTTTTCTCCCAGGAATAAGAATCATGAGGACAGCGACACAAGGACAGGCAGCACAGTTGCAGTGGATTTCTTCCATTGCAAATGTCCTGGTACGATGATTGCCTAGCTCCTGCTTGCCTGTGATCCCGGAGCTTCCCTCGTCCCCCCTTGCAGTCTGGTTCTCAGCTGTTCATTGTATTCTATAAGCCACCCTGTATGATTCCGGTAAACTCCCTTTGGACTTCAGTTAGTCAGAATACGTTTCGGTTACGTGCCACTAGGCGCCCTAATAGATAAGGAAATTTCCATAATTACCTCCAACACATGGCATGGCTGAAGGGCTTGGGGCTTCATAGCTGTACTAATGTTTGCGAATGCAGCAGGAGGTTTGGGTCTGGAAGGTATTCGTGCAGAGGGAGAGACAGCTCAAGGGACGTAGGGAGACAGGATGCAAATCAAATATGTCAGGAGTCCTAGGGTGCATATTTTCATCTCAATCACCGAGAAAAAAAATTGGTTTGGGCTCCTATCCGGCACTTCCCCCTTCTTCCCTTGGATGTGAAGATTGACTGCTTGCAGGAAGGGGACCACCAGTGGTGTCTCACACAAGGTTCAGACAGACATCAAAGTTAATCCGCTCTCTGATCTAAGCAAAATGTGATGAGGGTTTCCTGGGACAGCAGCTCTACTAATTGTGGCACTGCAGCTGATGTATTTTTAGACTATTGTGGATTCCCAAGAAGGATCATTACCTTCTACGGGAAATTAGGCAGACTAGAAACTTGGCGTTTGGAGCAGCATGGGATGTAATGCAGGACCCTCTGGACCCTGTGCTTTTGAGAATGTGAGAGTGAGCCAGGGAAATGCTTCCCTATTTTTCTTGGGCACTGTGAGTCTCTGAGTCTCTACCCATCTGCATAAATATTTCCCATTTAAATCACTTGTTTAAGTTTTTCTTCTTTGACATGTTCTTTATATCTGAGAGATTCCCTCCAAATGTCCAGCCCACAATTTTAACTAATGTCTTTATGACTTCCGGTGTCTGGACCCAGCCTTTCTGCTAAACCCCAGCCTCCTGTGCCTGATGGCCACCTTCAGGCTCCACCCCAACTTGCTCCTGCTCCCTCCTCCTCACTTTCACGGCCACTGGCTTGCTTTGAGGACTTGTCCGCTCGTTTTGACCACGGCTGCGCAACTGTCTTGAATTTGTCATCCTCTTACTGACATCCTCAGTCAGTAAGCTATCTCACTCATGGGCCAACCAAAGGTAACTTCGGAAACCACAGATCTGGTCAATCACTGATCTTCTCAGAAGCCTTTGGTGTCTTTCTAAAGTATGGATTCTTCATCCTGGACCCCAGGTTCTGGTCAGCAGGCCACTAAAGGTCACTGTTGCATCCATGTGCTTCAACTGAGTGAAAGACTAATGCTCTAGGTCTTGTCTGCCATGCTCTTTGCCCATGGCTGCAGCTGATTGAATCAGCATGGGCATAAGACCCAATATCTCTGCCAAGCAGGGAATGAGCTTACCCAATCAGACTTTTTGCCTCTGGAATTTTAGCTGGAAAATCAGGCTTGAGAGGTTGACAGAGGGAGCAGATGCACAGGGAGAGGCGGTAGCAACACGAGGGGAGCTGTGAGTCAGCCATGGTGATGAGTCAGCAGAAGCTGGGAGAGAAACGCTGGGCTGAGTAGATGGGGGAGGAATTGCCTGGGAAGAGGAGGAAGCAGAAAATGGAGGAGAGTGAAAATGAAGACCCACAAATCCCTGCTGCTGAGAAGTAATGAGATGCCTGAAACTTGAGGGCTTCCTGGGATTCGTTTATT